AACATGTGTTAATGCTACGTAAAAAAACCTGCATTATTTTCACATAATTTACCTTTATTCTACACCACTCTCTCTTCTCCTATAAACGCGCCGATGATTTCCTGCTTTTATGAAGCCCCTCCCTCAGAAATACGCGATGGGCTCTGATTGGTCAGCTGGCCCACTGTGTTGTGATTGGCTAAACCGCCAGTGCAGTCCAGAAACGCCACACTGAAACTTTTTCAAGACTCTTTCTCCGATTGCTTTGGAAAATGTGTTACCATTAGCAATGAATCATTATTCAAATGTGGCGTTAGAACCGTGAATCTATTTGCATATCAATAAAACGCGTTAGTATTTGAATGTGCATGTGGTTAATGAGAGCGCCGGCGGTCCTGGGCGAGAAGCGATGGTCTTCGGTTATCTGGTTCTGTGAGAATATCCACTCAATCTTACCCCTGGATTGTTTGATTCAGTCGGTTTAGTGGTAGCACATTAAGAAGCTTTGAAACTCTCTAACCTTTCCAAACATTCATTACTGTTCACAGCGGCAGCCGGCCGATCCTGGCCTCTCTCAGTCCTGCTGTGCTTTCAATATTAATTAAACTCAATATGGCACTGTCACTGATCCAACCGATGCATCGCAGCAGAATACTGTAGACCCTGCTGCACACACAGATATATTACTCTCAGTTTAGTTTAGCCTCAAGCTTATTCTTATCGCAGGTCAAATTAAATTCTTAGCCTTGACTTTTGCTTACACCATGTCTGAACCACAACATGCCATTCGGCAAAAGTTGTTTTTCAGTTTTTGTCCCGACCAGCCGTATAGCAAGCGATAAGAAGAAGGGTGTTTTGTCGATCGTTTGGTTTGTGTTCTGGTTAGTGCACAACTTTGCACCGTGTAGCCCCGCCCACTGTAAAACCTCATTGGTCCAAAGCCAATCACATCTATCTATAGTCCTGTCTGCCTTTCAGTCATTTTATCTGCTGTTCTGTCTGTTGTTTTATCTGTCTACACTGTAAAAAAAAATTGATAAAATTTACGGTAAAAAACCGGCAGCTGTGGTTTAAATTTACAGTTGAATACTGTAATTTCATAAATGATATAATGTTAATATACCAATTTATTGAAGTACTGAAATCAGTTTTGTAGCTTTGTAATACACTGATAACCACCAAAAGCAGGAGGTGATGAGAAAGTCACACGATGAACCAAAGCCCATCACAAGCAGCTTTTAGATAATAACAATAAAATAATAATGCAATAAACATTAATTTAACAACATTAGGTGTAACACACAACCCTAATATACAAAACTGATAAGAAAAAACTAAGAAGAAACATAGTTATTTCAACAAAAAAACATCAACTTTGAAATGTAACGCAGGGAATTCTGGGAATGTAAATTTACGGTTATTCACTGAAAATTATACAGTCTTTTTCACTTCCAGAAACGGTATACTACCATAAAATTAATGTCCAATACATGTAATGTTTAATACAGTTTTTCACCGTATATAGTAGGGGAATTTACCGTTAACCATTTAACAGGTTTTTACTGTAGCATTTTACTGTTTTTTTACAGTCATTTTTTACAGTCCATCCATCCATCCATCCCGTTCTATATTCTTCTATAGTTTGTGATGCTTTTGTAGCTGCTCTCAATATGCTGATATTCAGTAATATAAAAAAATAGGGTACTATTGCAATTAAATATTTGATTATTGGAAGTAGAGTATATGCTTCAGTGTTTCCCCAAATGTACTAAAATGTGCTAGAACCAGGTTTAATGTGTGAAGACCTGCGAATACTAATGAGACCAGGTGGTCCAAGCAGGGATGGTAGTGCTGCTGGATGATTTGGGTTCTGCAGCTTGCTTTACCTGCCTGGCCTCTTGTTCTTCGTGACAGGCGTCTCCAGTCCCTCCGGCTTAAGGGACTGAGGGATTTGGGTTGATTCTCTATTCCAAATCAGCTGTGACACTTAAACTGATGCGGGTGTTTCAGAGGGAACGACTCTGCTTCATGAACAGGAAAAGAGCCAAATGAGATCTGACAAAGTGAGAAAGGAAAGAGTACTAGTGCGTGTTCGCTTGTTTAGTTAAACATAAGACATGCCAGATGACTAAAGGGGTGAACCCAGTGTTTAAAGAGGTCATGCTTTTCCACGAAATCAACTTATATGGTTTCTTCAGTCTCACACAACCAGCCTTTTGAACCTCTGCGTGAGCTGCTTTCTTGTGTTCAGAGAAGAAGGTATTTGATCAGTATTTGTGCAGCTCTCTGGTCCAAATCAGGGTTATTATACGCTGTCGTTTTTTTCTTAAATAAAAGAAATAAAAATAATACAGGTGTTTTTTTTTAACTTTGCAAAGCAAATGTTATTTTATGTTTGTGCTTTTAGAAATAGATCTTTACTACACTCTAAAAGATGCTGGGTTGTTTCAACCCAATGTTGGGTCAAATATGGACTAACTCAACTGTTGGGTTAAATTTTGGTTACATTTTTAAACTAGCTTTTTAACCCAACAGTTGGGTTAGTCCATATTTGACACAACATTGGGTTGAAACAACCCAGCATTTTTTAGAGTGTACCCCTAATTAGAATTATTATTTTGCATTTTATTTTAAGCACAGAATGTTTTTTCTGCAAACGGGGAGGTCTGGTCACCATATCCTTCCAAAAACTGGTAAAATGTACTATAACATAATGAATTATTATCATTTTGTCCAAATATTCTTCTACCTTGATTACTGCTGTTTTCTGTGTTTTCCCCCCATCGAAACTCTCCTGGCATTATTTAAATGTAATTTCATATGATAATCTGTTATTGTGGTATAATCTGTTTCATTCAGCTTTTGTCTTCTCCAGATGTTAACTGATGGACTGGAGTGCTGTGGATTATTGTGATGTTTTTATCAGCTGTTTGGACTCTCATTCTGACGGCACCCATTCACTGCAGAGCATCCATTGCTGAGACACTGATGCAGTGCTACATTTCTCCAAACCTGATGAAGACACAAACTCATCCTGATCTTGAATAGCCTGAGGGTGATGATATTCTCAGCAGATTTTCAGCAACTCTTCCTTTAACAGGTTTTTCACTGCTTGGTTTCTCAGGATGAAGGCACAGATGTTTTTCTTTTATAAACCCCAGTTGTTGCTAAAGGATGTTCACTAGGGATTGCTCTGTAAATTTATCCTATTGTATCAGGCTTACAGTAACTGATCGACTGGATTATCGATGTACAGTATCAGATTTCTCTTTCTGTAGTAGAGTACCGGACATTTGTCATCTGCCTGCTTGGATGCATTCATGTGGGGTTCTGCCAGGGACTGCCATGTCACACTCAGTGTCTCTGAGCGAGGAGTGTGTGTGTGCGTGTGTGTGTGTGTGTGCAGTATGTCTATGAGAAAAGCATAACTCCGTGGGTTCCTTACAGTGACACAGATCTGTGTGAGTGTGTGCGTCAGAGACTGACTGACACCCACACACACACACACACACACTCGCTCGCACAGTCTTCAGTGTCACATGATCCTTCAGAAATCATTCTAATATGCTGATTTGCTGCTCAATGCCCAAATCACCCCAGCAGCATGTGATCCCATTCACACAAAATTAAAATTTGCCGAAAAATTTACTCACCCTCAGATCATCTGAGATCAGGATGAGTTTGTTTCTTCATCAGGTTTGTAGAAATGTAGCACTGCATCAGTGTCTCAGCAATGGATGCTCTGCAGTGAATGGGTGCCGTCAGAATGAGAGTCCAAACAGCTGATAAAAACATCACAATAATCCACAGCACTCCAGTCCATCAGTTAACATCTGGAGAAGACAAAAGCTGAAACACATCCAGCATTAAGACGTTTTAACTAATGTTCATACTCCATAATAACTCTTCCTCCAGTGAAAAAGTGCATCTGCTGTTGTCTCTCACATCAAAATCCAGCCACATATGTGTTTAGAGCTGTTTAAACGCTGCTTGATCTGTGCAGATTTCTCTCCTGATTCAGACCAGAACAC